GTCTAACAGGGGTCCTACATTACCCGGTGCCCGCTTTTTACTCCCAATGTATTTGAAGAAGGACTTTTCGTTGTCCTTAATCCTGGTCGCTAGCCTGAGCTCCACCCCTACCTTGGCCTTCCTAATGGCCATCCTACACTCATGGACCAAGGAGGAGTATTCCTCCTTGGTGATAGCCCCTCTCTTCCACCGGGTGTACACCTCCCTTTTGGCCCTCAGGCATTTTCGAATGCCTTTGCTGAGCCATGGGGGTTTCAGAGCACTCTTACCCCCCTTCTTTCTCTCAGGGATAGTCACACTCTGAGCCTGGAGGATCGTCCCCTTAAGGTACGACCATCCCTCGTGGATTCCCATCTCCTCTACTTTTGGGGCCCTCAGTGCCTCCCCCACTAATCTCCTAAATTCATTGAAGTTGGCCCTTCTGAAGTCAGGGGCTTTAGTCTTGGTATAAGCCCTCAACACACTGCGCTGGATGGTGAATTCCAGCAGGCGATGATCACTGTCACCCAGGTGGTCAGGGACCTGCAGTCCACTCACCAGGTCATCCCCAGTGGCCAAGACCAGGTCCAGCAAGGCATCTCCCCTAGTGGGGCTGTGCACCCCCTGGATAAGGTGGAGGTCCTGTATTTCAGCTAGGAACCTATGCGAATGGTCAGACCTGGCTGACTGCTCCTCCCAGCAAATGTCTGGGTATTTTAGGTCCCCCATGACAATGACATCCCTAAACCTAATGGACTCCATAAGCTGTACTGAGAAGCCCTGGTCCAGCTCAACCCTATGGCAAGGTGGTCTGTAGTAGACACCCACCGTAAGATCCTTCGCCTTGCCCCCCTTGAAGTTTGACCCACAGTGCCTCTGTCTGACCTTCCTCTGCCCCAAAGCTAATTCTTGATGATGTGAATTGCTCTTTGACATAGAGGGTGACCCCCCCCCCAACTTTCCTCCCAGTCCTGTCCCTTCTATATAGTGTGTATCCCTGAATGCCCACCACTCAGTCATGGGTAGGATCCCACCAGGTTTCTGTGAGCCCTACTAAGTCTGGATTCTTCCCTGCTATCAGAAGGCATTGCCTCCTGCTTGCCCCCCATACTATGTGCATTAGTGTACAGACATGTGAGGCCTCCTGAGAGGGCACGTACCTCCCCCCTGCTCCCAGGACTGCTGTGCCCATTGTTGCTTACTTGAGTTTCTGTTTGCACCTTGCTAGTTGGCAAAACATCCCTAATAGCTTGGAACACACTAGGCAAGCCAGGACAGTTCTTCATTTGATGCATTTGGCTGTATCATGCCCAATTCCCTGTTGTGCCTGCTCAGTGAAAGAGTTTGTTGTGGCTTTCAGCCTCCAGGCGCCTGGAAGTTTGCCTTTTTGGACAGAGGTCAGTATAATAGGGCTCCAATAAATGTAAATATTGAAGGGTGCAAATAGAAATCCAGAGACCCTGCAGGAGAAGCAAGGCTGTCATGCGGAGCAAGAACAGTAAATTTCTCCTTTCAGCTTTAGTACATGGAACAGTCCATTCCCCAGAAATAAAATTGAATTCTGTGAGCCATGCAGGAGCAGGCAGTACTCATCAAAGCCAAGGCATCAGTCAAGGGACTGATTCACAGTGGTAGTCACAATGTCTACTCTAGGTCAAACATCAGGCAGAAAGCAAGGTCAGAAGACGTTTAGCCAGGTAACCTGAGTTTCACTTAATAGTTCACAAGAACAGTGTAAAAGTTTCCCTATGTTCTCCATACTTGTGGTTTAATTACCCCAAACTCACACCCCACCCTGCCCTGAGCCCTCCAAGCAAAGTTCAGGATGTTCCCAGGCAGCCAGTGGAGCTCAGAGCATCACTTCCACACCAAAAGGGCTCTTGGATGTGACCTCAGTCAGCCTGCTGCTCTGCTCCATCTATCCCCACCACACCCAGGTGATCAGCTCTGTTTAATGGACGGGGAAACAGAAACAGGGAGGGTAAGGGACTTGCCCACGGTCATACAGGGAGACTGGCAGAGCTGGGAAGAAAATGCAGGTCTTCTGAATCCTATTATTCTCGCCACTCGCCCTTCCTTCCTTCCACCGCTCCCCAGGATGTTGGCTGCAGCTCAGTGTTGCACTGGGTCACAGAGTAGGGCCGTGACAGGGCAAAAAATCAGTCCTGGGCTCTGCTGCCTCTTAACAGAATAGCATCGGGGATCTGCTTAACTCTGTGTGCTGCTGCAGGGAAAGTGGCTTCTCCTGTTCATCGGCCCTGTGAGGTTGCACTGCTTCCCTCACACACACAAAGCAGTGTGAGCTGGGCCCTAACCATTCCCTGATGTGCAACATCCCCCTGCCTCCCCCCAGCAGGCACAATAGCTATATTATGAGGTCAGAGTTGGCTCAGCTCAGCCACAGGAAAAAAAACATGGAAGAGGAGGAGGAGCTTGAAACCACCCAGTCTGGTGCTGTCTGCTTTCCCAGCAAGGCTTGAGCCTCACTTGAGTGAGATGCTTTTTTAATATAGGTCCAGGGGCAAAACTCTGGATTGTTCATAGGGAACGAGGGTGAGGTGCAGGGGAAGCTGCTCTCCTCTGGGTTTGGTGGCAGCAGCAGAGATGGGGCACAGTTTAAAAACCTGTCTTGCAAGAGCAGATTTCAGGGGAAGAGAGGGACACTGCAGGGCTACTGGAGCAGCAGCAACATGGAGGGCAAATTGCCACCTGGTCAGTTTGTACAGTGCCCAGAGAAAAGGGATCCAGGCCCTGGGCTTGAAGCTTTCCAATGTTCCCCCAGTGCAGAGAACTGAAGGCAGCGGATGAGGCTTTTAGCAACAGCTCTGTCAAGTGCTGCTCTCAGGTCATTTGGATCAAGAATGGAATGATAACAGACACAGGAAGAGAGGCGCCAGATGGGGCCCAGGGTTTGGTAACCGTAAGGGCTCTTGGAGCCATGGGCAACTAGTGCTGCCTTAGTCGGGGGGGCATTTGCCCCCCCTCCAGTCAGTGACCAAAGGAAGGGAGTCCCCTGTGGCTAATCCTGCCAACCGGGTTGGTTGGGAGGGGTTCCCCTGCGATCGATCCTGAGATGGCCAATCGCTGCTGCTGCTTCCAGAAGTGGCTGTGGCTGCTGCTGGGAGTACAACAGTGCTCCACTCCCCAGCTGGCACTTGCAGGGGGGGCACCAGTGAGCACAGCCAGTCAGGGGGTGCCCGTGTACCCCCTGCGTGTCGCCACTGCTTGGAGCTCTGCCCTGCACACACTGAACCTTCTTGCAAACATGGACTGTGACACAAGTACAACAAGAAACCACAGGCAGTTCTGTGATCTCTGGACAGGGCTGTGGGCTACCCTGTCCTAGGGATGTTGGGCCTTCTTCACCTCAGCTGGAGCTCCTACCCTGGGGGGTCTTTAAGAAGCAGCTTGATGCCTACCTGGCTGAGGTCATTTGAGCCCAGTTTCCCTCCTGCTCAGGCAGGGGGTCAGACTTGAAGATCTACAAGGTCCCTTCCGACCCGACTTCTATGATTCTATGTGTGCATGCGCACAGCCACAGCATGCAGGCAACTGGGAATGCAGCCTGGCAGCTGGGGAAGCAGCATTCACCCAGTAAATCTGTTGGAGGGAAGGGGCAGGAGGTAAGCAGTTCAAGGCCTTCATGGTGAGGGAGGGGGAGGGCTGGGGTTGAGCCTGGGGCAGTGGCAGGCACTGCCCAGCTTTGGTGGGGCACAGCATGGAACGGAGCTGCAGGCTACAAGTCTGAAGGGCAAGGAGAGAGTGTGTGTGTGGGGGTGGCTCTCACCACAGCACTCACTCTGTGGGAGGCATGCGGGGCATGTGCCCCCTGGATTTGTGTTTAGGGTGTGGGCAGGATGCCTGCTGCAGGCTGGGGCCAGGGGCTACGATGGCCTCTTCCTGGTGGGAGGGCTGATCCAGGGTGCAGGGGCAGAGCAGGGAGTGGTGGTGCTGGGAGGGGAGCTATATGAGGAATTTTGGGGTGCTGATAGCCCATCCCGTAGCCCCCGCTCCCAGCATTGCCACTGCCCACCCCACCCCTGTCTGCCCTGAGCACAACACCAGCACAGCACCCCCACTGGAAAGAGCCCGCAGCTCTGAGCCCCCAGTGGGCAGCCCACCCTCACCCTGCACACAAATCTAGGGGGCACAGCCCCCCCCTCCCCCATGCCTCCTCTGAGGTGTGTGCAGTGGTGGGAGCCATCCCACTCCCCAGACAAAACAACCTTTGCTCCCACCTCAGCTGGGCAGCACCTGCCCCAACCCCACTCCCTGCCTCACCATGGGGGCCTTGATCTTCACCCCCCTGCCCCTTCCCCCACAAGACTTACCGGCTGGACACTGCTCTCCAAGATGCTGGGCTGCATATCAGAAATTGGATTTGTATTGACTGATATGGCTGGTTAATAATTGGACATTGCTGTCAGCCAAAAAGAACTTGATTGGTGCACCCCTAGACAAATGAGTTGGTCAGGCATGACTTGCACCCTGGTGAATCCATGCTGACCGTTCCTGATCACTTTCTTCTCCAAGTGCTTAGAAATGGATTCCTTGAAGCCCTGCTCCATGATTTTTCCAGGGACTAGGGTGAAGCTGACTGGTTGGTAGTTCCCTGGATCCTCCTTCTTCCCTTTCTTAAAGATGGGCATTATATTTACCCTTTTCAAATCGTTGGGGACCTCCCCTGAGTTTTCAAAGATAATGGCCAGTGCCTCTGCAATCACAACAGCCAACATCCTTAGCACCCTTGGATGCATTGTATTGGACCCCGTGACATATACATGTCCAGCTTTTCTAAATAGTCCCTAACCTGCTTTTTTACTACTGAGGGCTGCTCACCTTCTCCCCAAACTGTGTTGCCCCATGCAGCAGTTTGGGAGCTGACCTTGCTGTGAAGACAAGGTAAAAAGGCATCGAGTACTTCACCCTTTTCCTCATTATCTATTAGGTTGCCTGTCCTATTATGTAAGGGTCACATACTTAAGATCATCATTCTCCCTTCCTACCTCTACCCCATGCAGGTTGCAGTAAGAGGTAACGATCTGGAGGACAGGATGGAGTGAGTGCACCCTCAGTAAGTTCACTGATGACATCAAATTGTGGGGTGTAGTAGATACGCTGGAGGGTAGGGATAGGATTCAGAGTGACAGTAGTCTGGAATAGTATCATCAAGTAAATGTATATCGCAAAAGTGGGAGGCAGCAGGTGGTGAGGCGGGGAACCTCATGGGTCTTCCCATCAGGATTTCATGTGGACTAAGTCCGGTCTTTCGGTTGACAGTAGATCTCATACTCATAAGGGTATGATGGCAAAGTCCCACCGTTCACATAGGTTTCTAACCTGTGTACAGGACCTCCACCTGACACA